GTGCCGCCGCTTCGCCGCGGGAGGCCGCGGGCCCGGAGCTAGATTAACTCCTTCCCTCCCGGGACACAGAAAGGAAGGTGGGCCCCGCAGTGCACAGCTGTAGAGGCTGCACAGCGTCGGGGCTGGTTTAACCCTCTGCCCCGAGATGGTTCAAAAGCAGGGTAGGACATGAAGTCCCTGCAAGGAAAGGAGAGATGACGAAGAAAGTAGTGTAGTGTGTGTTGGGGGGCGGGGGAGGGGGATAGGTAGACACCTCCACTTCTCATTGGTCTCGGCTCCTACCTCTACCAAGCTATCTACTTGGAGCCTGGAAAGGGGCACGCTGTGGGCACTCAAAAAATACTTGCAGAGTAAATGAGTGGCCCCCTCTACCCCCGGACATCTAGCCTCACCTCAGGACCCTTCAATGGGCAGCAAGAAGGAAGGGCACCCCAGGCCATGGGGGGGAAAGGAGCCCTCAGAGCCCGAGGGGGCATCTAGGGCCATGTCCCCTCTGTACCTCGTCCTTCGCACCTATCCCCACCCAACCCCAAATCTCGCCAACTCAGCGCTTCCTGGGGACCAAACTTTATGCGGTGCCTCCGGGCCCCCCTCCCCCTCGTTCCCTCCCCAGCGTGAATGCGGCACTGCGGCTCCGTGTCCTTCCCAGCTCAGGACGCGGCACGGTGGGGGGAGGGGGCCCAACCGGCTCCTCGGGGTGTCTGGGTCCCCAGGAGGCTAGGAGGGGTCCCTGAAGTCGCTACTCTTTTCCTCTAATTCCCCCCATTTTGAACTACTCTCCTCTCTTCCAACACGGGGAGGAAGTTAGGATGAGAAAGGGAGAACTAGGGGGAAGGGTAGCTATTTAGCCTAGGAAGTTGGGAATGTTTAAAGTTATGAAAGTTTTGGGGGGAAGTAAAGGGAGCTGGAGGGGGGTAAAATCTGGAATTTCAAGGGAGATAAGACTGGAGGGGTGCGCTCTCTGTTCACCTGGGGGATGGGGGAGAAGCTGAGGCGCTTTGGACTGAGGGTGTCTCACTCAGCGGGGAGACTTGGGAAAGGGGGAGCAAGCAGGGCTGGGGTCAGGAGGAAAGATGCCAAGGCAGGGAAGAAAGAAGTAGGAACTATTTTGAGAAGAAAGTTTTGGGGCGGGTAACTTGAGGGAGGTCCGAGGATTAAGCTTAGATAAATTTCTGCAGCAGCAGGCGAAAAAGTGATTTATCTACTAGGAAGGTGGCTGGGAGGGTGGGGGGGCAAGGGGTTGTCCCAGAGAGAGGGAGTGGGCTGTGCAGTAAATGATGGAAGGGAGAAGCTGGGAGGGTCTGGGGGTGAAGAGGAGGCATTCTGGAGAGCATATGGGAGGCTCTGGAGGGGATCAGCATATTATTGGGGGGGAGGGTCAGGAGAAACTGAGGGGTGGGGAAGGCTCTGGGGAAGTCTCGAGCTAATTTATGGGAAAGTCCTTGGGATGGGAGTTGGCGTGGAGGATGCAGGAAGGGACTTGAACAGAGGGGTCCCGAAGGTCCCAGGAGTAAAAATGTCCTAAGATTGATTGTTGCCGGGAGGGGGAGGTGTCCTAGCCAGAGCAAGTGGTTTGGAGGTTCGGAGGGGTCCAGGAGGCTCTGAAACTGGGGTTCGGGCGCCTTCTGAGACTTTGAGGGCAGAAGAAGCAGGAGATTTCAAAAACAGCCAGGAGACTGTCACTTGGAGGGGGCCAGGGAGAAGGGCAAAGGGAAAAGGCAGCGGGGAGCTGTTGGGAGAGCCTGAGGAAGCGAGGGC